ATTACCACTGCTACTACCACTACCACTACCACTACCACTGCCACTACCAATACCACTACCACTACCACTACCAATGCCACTACCGCTACCACTACCACTACCACTACCAATGCCACTACCACTACCACTACCACTAGCACTAGCACTAGCACTAGCACTAGCACTAGCACTAGCACTAGCACTACCAGTACCACTACCACTACCACTACCACTACCACTACCACTACCACTACCACTACCACGACGACGACGGCTACAACGAGGCTGCGGGCACCTGAACATAAATTTAAATTTGGCCAAAACGGTTCAAGTCTTGCTTTTGTTTTTCTGTCCTAAACCTCAAACTTGAGGGTTTGGGGCTTCTTAATCAGCCCTAAACCCTAAACCCCCATACTCCAGGTCGGCGAGCCTTGACAACAGGGCTCGTCACGGTGCCCATCCGTGCGAGAGCCTCTGACCGACGTTTGGGTTTAGGGTTTAGGCTTAAGTCCTTCTTGCATGGCTTAGGGCTTAGGGCTTTTAGGGTTCAGGGTTTAGGGTGTAGGGACTACTGCCAGATCAGGTTTAGGGTTTAGGGATTCGGGTTTACGGTTTAGGGCTTAACGTTATATGAGGGCTTTGCTAGGAACTTATCTTACGGTACTTACGGCTTGCTGATGCTAACCTGGGGCTTTGGGGATTTTGTTACGGCTGCATTGGATATGCAGTTCAGGGTACAGTTTTGTACTGACACCGTAGGGTTTTTTCTTGGATCCACAAATGTTCAGATTGTCAAAGAGCTTTGTTTGGGGTGTCATTACTTGGAGGATCATGGGACTTAGTAAGTAAGGTTATAAGTCCAAGCCCTACGCCCTAAACCAGAACAGAACAAGCTTACCCCAAACCCTGAACCCCAAAGCCCTATAACCCATTAACATGTGTGTATTGCCCTTTGAAGGATTGCTTGTTGGTAGCCCACTTGTCAGAATTTCCGTGCGGCATATATATATATATATATACATATATATATATATATGGGTTGATAGGGTTTTTGAAAGGCCCTGTTTAACAGTCACACGACAGTCCCTGTAGTAGGGTCTACGATTTGGGATGTTGGGGTTTAAAGTTTGGTTCATCGTCATAACCCAGCCAGAAAACCCCGAAACCCCAACCTGATGCCACAAAGCCCTACCCAGAGACTCCAATACCCCTTAATTAAGGAATATACCTTAGATCTTATTAGGGATCCTATTATAGGTTTAAGGTATATTCCTTAATTAAGGGGTTTTGGAGTCTCTGGGTACACAATGAGGCTAGATCCGCCAAACTTGTTCAGGGTTGACGTCGTCGGCTGAAGTAGTGTAGGAACCTGATCAGCAAACCTCTAGTCAGACATCACCCTACCCCAATTCGGAAGCCAAAAACAGTTCTAGTTCCAAGCCGCTCATCCCCTAAACCCTAAACCCTAAACCCAGTCCTAAACCCGGTTCCTACAGGTGCCGGGAAACCGGGAAGGCAGCGGTGTCCGTGAAGTCAGCGCTTGCACATTCGTAGCTCAAGAAGGGAAGCCTGTCTGCGGTGCCAACATCCCTAGTTCCGGATTGTTCAGGGTGTAGGATTTTTCTAGACTTTAGGTTTAGGGTCCTGATGCTCGGGGTTTGATTTGAAGAGCGTTTTCGTGTTTACGGACCCTAAACACTATGAACCCTAAACCTAAACCCAAACCCCAACCCAAATTACCTCTCTGGTTTACGGACCCTAAACCCTAAACTCTGACCTAAACCATTTTTTGCATCTGGACCCTAAACCCAAATTACCTCTAGGGTGCACGGACCCTAAACCCTAAACCCTGAACCCTAAACCCTAGTTACCTCTAGGGTCTGAGGTGAAAGGCCAGAGGTTCATTCGGTTTAGGGTTTAGGGTTTAGGCTTTTCGTGGGGCATCCGAGGGCTTGGACTCGGCCTAACAAGGCAATGGCGCGGGCTTCGGCAGGGCCTGGGCTTTGGGGTCTTAAAGGGGTTAGACTCGAATATGGCAGGGCTCAAAGCGCACAGCAACGGGCCTCCAACCCGACTTTTCACTCGCGAACCTCAGGGCCTTGTACGGCTTCGGTCAGGTGCTTTCAGACAGGCGTGTGCCGAGAAATGATAGGAAGTGCCGACATCATGAGGTGTGTTTTCACACGAAACCCCCCTGGTCCTCATGAGTCGGTGGCCTTGGCACTACGACGCCATGCTGCCCGCTTTGCGGCAGCCACCTTTCGCAACTCCTGAGCCTCAGCTGTGTCGCGTAGAGACCATAGCCCAGAGGACATCACCGTAGTCAAAACACCGTTGTGGTGCCACTTGGTCAGGCCGTCACCTGGCATCTGACTGCCTGGAACCCAGCGGACCTTGCAGCCGTTCCCCTCTTCCACCAAGCCTTGACGAAGAACACCAACGTCGATCGCTATCTTGCGGTCCGTGGGAAGAGTCTCGGAATTCACTGCATCATAGCCGGTCCGGGCATCGGTGACTAAGATGTGCTGCCATGGTGCAACGCACACCTTCCAGCGCTTGAGCTCGAACCGCGGGTGAACCAACTCCACGAACACGGCCCGCACGTAGTCTCCGTGTTCAAAGGCCGTCGCCAGGGAAGAAACCTCGGCCGACATTGAGCATCGCACCACCCGCTGGATCTTCGAGCTGATCGCCTCCAGGATGCACACGGGAGCCTCGCCCTCGAGCACGTTGGGATTGGCCACCATCACCATCGTGCCTCCTTGGCTAGAGCCGTTTGGCATGGCGCCATAGGCAGCGTCGCTCACTGCCAGGATCACCATCTCCGACAAAGGGCACCCTAGACACGGAACTTTCAGTTGCAGAGGCTCCCTTGCCCTGCGTACCACAGTGTTTACCCACTTCAGCGCCTCGGCACGTCCTTGACCGGCAAGCTGCTGAATCAGCGAGGCACCAAAGCAGAGATCAAAACGACCCTGGCGAGCAGCCCAGTTCAACTGACCAACCACCGAGCTGATGAGCTTCTTCTCGCCATCGGTCAAAGGCGTCAACGACTGATCACCATGGACCACCTCGTGCACGTACGAGATTGGATCTGTATCCAAACCATTGTCCACTGGGACATGGGACCCCGAGGTAGTGGTAGTGCCGCTGGAACTCGATGTGGTAGAGGACAATCCTGACGTCCCAGATGACCCCGAGGTAGTGGTAGTGCCGGAGGAACTCGAGGTAGTAGAGGACGTCGTCCCTTCTGCAGTGTCCCGCTGTTTCACGGTGGGGACGCCATCGATGTAGCCCTGCATGCTGATCTCCATCTCCAGAGTGGTAGGATCCTGTCGCTCCCATCGCCCGCAAAACTTTTGCCAGCCTTCTGTGGCCTTCCGCACCGAGCCAAACTTGAGCCGCTTGTGTAGCTGCTCCCAAATGACCGCACTGGTCTCGTCCCCAGCATACCTAGTGTCATCGACATGTATGCTGGCCATGGCTCGAATGCTCCCGGCAGACGTGAAGGCACGGAACAGTCCGGGAGCCAGTCGGAGCTCGTGAAGCCCCAGCTCGAGCAGGATCTCCTTGTACGCCAGGTACCACAAACGAGGGCTCTCGGGTAGTCCGAAACCACCCTTAGTGATTTCGACCATATCGTCCCGGACGTTGCCACCCAAGGCCTTGACCAAGAACTCAACAACCTCAGGAGGGTAACCCTTGGGGATCCTGGCGTAGATCTTCTCGGTGCGCGGTAGCTCCTTCCCCTGCAAGAAGGCGGCCGAAACGTCTTCAAAATGCACCTCCCACTTGTTCTGCACCGCGACAAAGTTCAGGAGGTTGTGACCCAAGGTCGATGCCGTCGGCGAGCTCGTAGCGTAGAGCCCAGCGTCCGGATCACGGTGTCCCCCAATGATCCACCTGGCCTTCAACTCGGCCTTATCCAGTGTGGACTCACCTTTGTTGGTGAGCACAAAGCGCGAGCCCAAGACACGAGCCGGGTCAACGACGGTGCCACTCGGAACGCCACGGATCCCGTCGTGGTCCAAGTAGACTTGCAGGGCCTTCTTCAGCGGCTCCACGTAGGCCTGCTTCCAATCGTCACCGAGTGCACTCCACTTGTACTCGACCCTGGCCTTGCCTGTCACCACCTCAGTCACGCCGTCCTTGTCCACGGCGTGCAAAGCAGCGGCAACCTCCAACAGCTTGCCATCACCGGCATGAGGGGAAGGGTTGGACCACAATGTCCATTGCCCGAGGGTGTCCTGGACCATTGCCTCGTACTCGCCCGGCTTGAACAGCATGGGGGAGAGCTCCACTTCCTCGGACATCATCACCTCCGAGACCCCGGCATTTTCCACGGCGGCCACCACCCGCGGACGTGCTCCACGGGAACGGCCACCAGCCTTCTTAGGCTTCTGCAGGATAGCTCGCTTCACCGACTTGAACTTGTGGTAAGCCTTCGTAAGGTGGTCCCGGATCCCCGCCTCCTGAAGCTCCGTTGGGGGTTCCAGCTGTTTGGACAGCTTCTCGAACAAACTTTCGCTTCTTCGCGAAGTCCAGCTCATGAGGGTCCGTTGGTAGAGTTGCATCCTCGGCCTTTCTCAGGTGGTGTTGTCGGATGCAAAACGGCGTGTCGTCGAGAAGCTTCTCCTTCTCCTCCTGCATGGGATCCGGCTCGCCTTCATCATCACTCGACGATGAGGACGACGACGAGGATGCCTCTGCCCTCCTCGTCGATGGCCCAGCCCCTGCTCCTTGCTCAACACCATCAACGGCCTCGGTCATGGGGGAACCATCCACCGTGATGTTCCCGCCCTGGAGCTCTTTCTCAACATCCTCGAGGGCTTTGTTGATAAACTGCGAGCCGGTCATCTCATCTGGGGTAGCCAAGCGCAGCTTCTCAAGGGGAAAGGCCTTCACCCGCCCTCTGATTCGCACCCAGATCCGAGCCGGCACCGGGCGGTCCCGTTCAACACACACAATCACCCCCGGGCCTTGCCATGAAACCTGATCTTGCAGTCGACGGGCTTGTCCTTTCCGGGAAGCCGGAGGATCGTAAACATAGACGACGGCTCCTTCCCGTAGTCCCTCCAAGGCCGGAGGCCGTGATCGAGAAGACAAAGCTCGCCTCAAGGCTTCATGGGCATCGATCCAATGGAACGACTCAATCGCCGCATGACGAATCCGCTCGGCATGGGCGAGGGCCTCATTGCTGCACAGCTCCTGGTTGCACTTGAACCGCACGTGCCCCGAGGAGATTTGGGACATCAGGGAGCCGGGAATCACGTTGCACCGGCCAGTGACGGCCTGAAGAGGACTTACGCCACCTTTATTGCACAGGCGATTCTTCGCCGAGAACGCTGCGAGGGCAGCCAAGCGCATCTGGGAGAGGCCTTTGAGGTTCATGGCCTTGACCGTCTTCATCATCATCAACTTCACAATGGCCCCGTGTCGCTCAGCTTGCCCCATGCGCCACTTTGCACCCTCCGGGACAATCTCATGTACTGTCCCGAACAGTTCGTTCACAGCTTGAACATTCCCAGCGAACTCTGGGCCACCGTCCGTGATGAGGAGGTCCGGGGGGCCAAACACCCCGTACCAAAGATCTTGGAGCACCTCTCTCGAGAACCCAGAGTCGGGATTGTCCGTGAGGTCGCCCACGTGGTAGTCCGTAAGGCCGTCAATGAAGTGGGTGACCCCGTACTTCTTTCCCTCTGCATCCCAGACGTAGAAAGAGTCGCCGGAAAGCCGCTCGTTGAACTGCTTCGGCTTGGAGTAGGCGACTTGAGGCGTTGCTTGAGGAGGGCGCACCATGCAGCAGATCTGGCACCTCAAGTTGCGTGCCAACATGACAACCTCATCTCGGGCTCCACTCAGTGACAACATCCGTATCAACCTGTCATTTGACAAATGTCCAAGAGTCACATGTAGGTGCGCCACCAATGGTGCAACCAGGAGGAGGTGGTCAAGGACAAGGACGCGTTGTGGGAGTGGCGTCGCCAGCACCTCCCGCTATGGCGGCTCGTCCGGGAGATCTGGGATCGACAGTCAGTTGGGAAGAGGCTGGTGATGTTGGAGCAGCCAGTGAACTCAGCCGCGCTTCAGCTTTCCATGTTGGGGGGCCGTCCGGAGGTGGTCCGGGTCTACTTGGATCATTGCGCTTTTGATCTTCGGGACTTGGAGACAGGACGGCCGTTGCTGAAGCGAGTGGTGCTCGAGGTGAATGATCCAAACTTCGCGCGCGGACTGAGCCGGCGTTCCTGGTGCACCCACGGACCTCTCGGACATCAACGTGTCGAAGGAGCCTGTCGAGTGGATGGTGAATGGATTCGGCGATCCTTGGTTGCAGCCCGCTGGACCGAGGGGTTTTGCAATCATGTTTTGCAGGCCGCTGAGAGTTGTTTGCGGGGGCCCCCGGGGGAAACCTCACCTGTGGCCTGGTGTTTGACCGAACCTACCTCGGACAACCGCGGCTGGGAGACTCTGGCGGTGACGAACTCTTCAATGCCCGAGGAGCACCTCCGGCAGCACTTGGCCGAGAACTCCCTCATGGGTGAGAGGTTCGACTACGTCTGGTTCGAGGGGAGGGCCACACGGAGGAGCCAACGTGACCAAGTCCGGGCGCTCGTGGTCGATCAGGGCCAGCAGCTTCTTGGCTGTCTCACGGCAGCTGAGATCCCAGCCACCAGCGATATCCACTGCCGCCAGAGCCCGCCAACTGCCCTGGCCCCCGGCCACCTGAGTCAACGTCGCGCCGCCCGCAAACACCTCAAGGAGGACCCAGGAGCCATTCTGTGACGCGAGGTCGGAGAGCTGCTGGATCACCTGCTTCCCTGCCGTCACACCCGCCTTAAGCTTCTGGGTCAACCCCCGACTCGGCCTCTTCGGGGGACTCAAGTCGACCTTCACATCAGATGCCACACCGTCGGCGAGTTGATCTTTTGCCTCATGGACCCCAGGTGGCCCCACAAGGCTGCAACTTCTCGGCCGGTCAACATGGCAAGCCACCGTGGGTTCCTCTTCCACCTCTTGCTCTGCTCGCGCTCGATGGCAGCTTTGACCCTCAGCTGCCACACAAACTTCTTCCACAGAAAGGTGCGCATCCGGCTTCGGACAGAGCAGGCCAGATTGAGGCAGACCTCGTTGGCCCACACGTGGCTCAGAGAAGGATAGTCCGCTTGCTCCCCGGTGAGAGCTTTCTTGGTCTCCGCCCTCGACTTCGCCGCCGCGGCCTTGCTGCGCCTCTTGTTCAAGAACTGGACCTCCTCGGGAGTCAGCGCCGAGGCCAACTCGGGGATCACCTGTTCCCCGGAGCTCGTGGCCGCCGCCTTCGGTTCCAGCATGCGCCGTGGCTGCGGCTTCTTGCGGGCCATCCGATCGGCCTCCTCCGCGTCCACCGCCATCTCGCTCTGGGTGGAGACCTTGGAGAAGCCCTCGTCGTCCGAGTCCAGAATGTTCGGGCAATCCTTCGTCCGGTGGGGCCCCTTGCAAAGCTTGCATGCCGGAGTCGCAGCAGCTTCCATGTGCTTCGCAAGGGCGATCCTGGCGCTCATGGCGCGTGGGCTGCTCGAGCTTCAAAACTGAGGCGGCCACAGGCATGATGTCACAACCGGCAGGCAACTTGAAGTCGTCGGGGAGGGCATGCTGCACATCTTCGCACTCATCCACAGGCATGGTGTAGTGACCGCTATCCACTCCCAGACCATAAGACCGAACACCGACTCGCCTAGCCGACACTGCATGATGCTCACAGTCAATCACCGCCCCAATCTGTGTGCAGCCAGCTCGTGAGAAAAGAGGAGGACATACCCCATCGACGATACTGAAGCCATACACCACCGGCTTCCCACCGAAACTCCCAAGGAAGGACACTCTGTACCGACTCTCGAGCACCTCACCGTCCCCGAACTTGAACACCTCTCGCTCTGGATCGACCCTGAGCCACCGACCTTCTTTCTTCCACCTGGCCACCAACATGTTTGCCCAGTTTACACCCGCCACCGACCGCATGCACCCGATATCGAGAATGACCTTGTACACAAGCTCAGACAGCGACCAACACACCTCATTCAAGACTGCACTCACTGTGGCTAACGTGGCATGCGTCATATATCTCGCACCGGGCTCGGAAGCTCGCTGAATCACATCATCGGCCACCTTTGGGTCGGAGCACAAGGAAGCCAGCAAAGCCCATTCGGCACCGGCTGTGGCGGTCTCCTCCGGAACTGCTGGCAAAGGCCGTGACTTCGCAGCGAGGACAGCCTGCGCTCTCGGTCCTGGGGAGGGGCATTCCCTCGACCAGTGTCCAAGCTGCCCGCAAGCATGACAGGGATGCGTCTTCATCTTTTCCTGAATCAGCTTCTTGCGGTCCTCGCTGGCCTCGGGTCGCCGATAATATTGGCGCAACTTCTTGACCTCGGCAATCTTCTGCCTCGCCTTAAAATGAGTCCCGAAGGCTTCATTCTCCAGAGTGAGGACCTCGGGCGGCAGCTCGGTGTCCTCCAGGGAGTCCTCGCCGTCCTCGTGACCAAAGTAGCTCTCCTCACCGCCTTGGGCAACTTCTGCATTGGCCGCAAAGACACCTCGGGCAGCTCGCGAACCCGGCTGTCCGGTGACGGGCCGCGGGTTCCTCGCCTCACCTCGTTGAAGCAACCACTCTTCACCGTTCCGAGCCTGGTTCGGCTCAGAAAAGCCAATCGGGAACCCCGGCTCGCCATCCAGCTCCGAAGCCAGGTCCATCATCGCGCCCGTCACCGCCGCCTCATCACCGATGTGGACGGCCTTGGTCTTTATCATGGCCTTGTCCCTCCTCGTCAACTTCGCATGGTCAAGGAGGTGCCCAACATAAAAGGCCTCGCCCATCGCCAGCGTAGCATCGATGCTCAAGAGGTGCGACCGATACACGCTTGCCCTCGTGATGTATGACTCCATGGACTCCCCCGCAGCACGGCTAAGTTGCATTAAGCGGCGCCGATGCTCATCGATGCGATGCCTCTCCACCTGCTTGATGATCGGAGAGGCCTCCAGCACACCAAAGATTTTCTGCATGCCGCCGGGGTAGTTGACATCTTCCAGAGTCAAATGTTTCACGAGTTGGGCCGCTCGATCTTTAAGTTGCACCATCATCCGTGGCCCGATTAAGGCTGGAGGCAATTGTCCTGCCTCGCTTCCCACCCAGAACTCCACCGAGCGCTTCCACTCGATGTAGGACTCCTGGGGTTTGGCCCGGAAGACCGGAGGGTACGAGCCACTGACCTTCCCAGCGGGCTTGTACTCCCCATTCTCTGCTCCAGCCCCAGCGACCTTCACCTTGCCCTTGGAGTCCTCCGTCTCGGTCACATAGCCGTGCACGCTCTTCTCCTCCCACACTGCATTGGTCTCGTTCACTTCGCCCCAGTAGGAGGACCCAGCATCGCTGCCGTCCCTCCAGCTCCAGTTCTCATCTCGACCTTGCCAGGAGGATGTGCCCGAGCTCGTGGAAGCCGAAGGTCCCGTCCTCCAGCTCCAGTTTTCGCAGGCTTGGTCGTCCGAGACCCAAGCCGTTCCATGGCCCTGGGAAGGACGGGCCTGATCATCACGAAGATCTCCTCCTTCTCGACCCATCCACTTCCCATCTTCTGACCATCCATCCCAAAAAACTCGTCGCGGTCGTTGCTCTCGCGGAAAAAACTCACCAGGAGCACTCTCCCCACTCCTGTCTCCTCCGGAAGACCAGCCACCCGTGCCTGGTCGCCGCAGCCCCGATCGACGCCACCGCCCGACATTCTCTATGGGCGGGGTATCGAAACAAGTGGACTCCTCTGAGTCCTCGGCCCCATTGCAGGCCTCATCCAAATCCTGGGCCTCACCCAGGTTGTCATAGTACGACCGCGACATGTCACAGCCCTGAGGTCACACGCGAGCGGCTCAAGCCGCGTTCGCCACAAACTTGCCGAACGGCAACACAAGGAACACTGCGATGACACACAGCAACGCTTCCGCCGAAGCCCCTCAGAAACTCCTGAATCGCACTCAGGAAAGCCACCGTCACCGTTTTCCCCTGGATCGCACACCGGGCTCCGCTGCCACTCGAATATGGCAGGGCTCAAAGCG